ACGGCAAGTATAAACCAGGCTCTACACCTGAATCATTCGCACTGAAAGCGCCTCTCTTCACGTGATCAGTGAAATCTGACTCCTGCTACAGTGTGCCTCGCTGTATGCAGCAGACGCTTTGGAGCAGGGCAGACCATGCACTCGCACAAATGCGACCACGTAAAATTTGAACTCGCACATTCTCAAAAAATTGTCACAAATGTGACCATTTTGGTCGCAGTCTATATGCGGATGTCACTGCCAAAACTTTACAGCATGCAGCTGTCACTTGTCCAACAGCCTCATGAAAAGAAAAATGTATTCAAATTCTGAATGAATTAGCCAAGAAAGCGCGCTCTGCGCTCCCTATAATAATTATAAAGCTGTCATTAATTTCAGTTTATCGCAATCTCACAAAAATCCGTTATAATCAATGAGGCTCGACCATAGGAGGGGTTTAGAGAGACTGAATCTTAGAACTGCTTCGAACAAATCGTTTGAGAATCGTTGGAAAATGAGGTGATATTAAATGCATATTTTGAGAAAACAAAAGGGTTGTTTGACCTTGCATGCATGTAAACCTATTGTAGGAGACTCCCAAAACAATACTAGGAACCTTAGAAGTAATAGGGGGCATAATAGGGGCACTTTAAGATCATAAAAATATCGAAGCTAAAGGTTTTCATAAAGCAGTTATGGTAGCCACGTCAGCAGCGCGAGAGGGCGCTAGCGTCTGTATAGAGACGCTAAAAAAGGTGGAAATTAAATTTAGCATTATATACATTTAAAAACAAGCTTTATATCATTTTTACGATTTTTTATGAAATACGAATTTTGAATAATGAAAATTAGTTTGTGTCTGCTTATTCTATTCATCAGTGTTTGAACCATTAAAGAAGAAACCGCATTTTCCATATTTCATTTCTGGCTTAAAAAACGAAAAACGAATGGACGCAAAAGTACACAGACCGTGTGCGTGTTTTGTTTTGGGTTTTTTAGTTTGTTATAGCATTTTTGTTTCACTTTGTTTGTTTTTTGTTTTTTGTGTTTTGTGTTTTCTTTTTTTGTTTTTGGGTTTTATTATTATTTTTTGTTTTTTTTTGTATTGGGTTTTTTTTGTTTGGGTTTTTCAGTTTTGTTTGGAGTTTTTGTTTTATGTTCT